GAGAAAGTCTCTGGGCAGCAATATCTCACTGCATAGAAACCTACTTTGCCTAATACTCAGGCTTATTCCTCCATACGCACGTAGAAATTATGGCATCAATACCTTTCACATCCTGGCCTTATTAAATGTTAATCATTCCTAAGCCTGTGGTCTGTTTAACAATCCCTCTTAATTAAAACTTTATTTGGGGGGTTTATTAGAGCTAATTGATTGACCTAAGCCATTTCCATTTACTGTGATGTATTTCACTGCAGTTTGGGTAGCTGATTTCCGAAGCTGTAAAAGCAGTATGCGTTTCAGTTAACCAGCATAAAACAGCTACTGAGACCTTATATAATTAAAATAAGACCATGACACTTCTGCCGAGTCACTGAAACAAGCTTCATCAACTATTTACATCCGTTGTCCACCTCACACAAGTAAACCTTACCTGCCACCAAAGCCTCCACTTCCAGGATAATTGGGTCGCCCGTACATGCCCTGCTGTATGTACGGCTGAGTGGAGCCTGCCTTGGCTGAAAACTGTTGCTGTTGTCCAGCAAACTGAGGGGAATTGATTCCAGGGTTGCTGGTAGTCATCCCAGAAGCCATGGGATTTCCTGCTGGGTTCATAGGGTTGTTAGCATTTGCCATTGGATTTCCCAGCACCTGTGAGAAGAGACAGGAGAATAAGGGGCTGTACCCTGAACTACCTCAAGCAAATTAAGTCCATTTGCCACGATCAATAAATTAAAATAGAACCACCCTGTACTCTGAACTCTAATGAGCATACACCTGTTGATGTCTAGGTGCACATTCCTGGTGATTTCTCCTTTTGACATTTCTAGACAGTTTCTGATCTCTAATTATCCTTCATAGGAGATTTTAACTAGCTGGAACCCAAACTTAACACGCTTATGGAAAAGTTACAGTAAAGACCTGCTAGGACCATGCTCTGTAGGTGACAAATTCACCTAATTAAGAGGAAGTAGTTCTTTTTTAATGCAGGACTTTGAAATAACTTGCAAATACCCAGTCCCACAGGCATACTGCAAAGGGTACTACAGATGCAATGGTTCTGAATGTAACTCTCTAAAGTGTACAGAAGTCTGTCAGTTGTTTTTATTGCTTCTTAAAAACACCGAGTCCTCTGGTCTGTTTTTAAAAGGACTCGGTTTGCTTTTTTGAATCTTTTTTTTTTCCAACTGAACCAAAATTGCTTAGATTTCCACTGAGATGTAAGTATGGCTGTTGTGAATCACCTGCACAGAGATCTGTCTCCTACTTGGGAAGAAATCTAGTGGTCATGATTTTTGCAAAAGACCAAGTCACCAGCTTTGGGAATTTGTAAAGGAGAATCGGTGACCCCGGCTCATTCCTTTTCCCCATGAAGACTCAGGGAAACCCTATAATTTATTTCAATTTGCTCTGAACAGCTACAACCAAGCTTCATACTCCAGAGTTTCACCCTCGCCCTGCAGTGATTCTGAAGAAGCTTTTCTCCTTGTTGCCACAGCCTTTGTTTTCTTTTACTGCACATTCCTCTGAAGTATCCATAAGAGCTCAACTAACATTACAGTGTTGTTATGATCGAACAAAACTCTTGAGTTTTCCCTTTTTTTCGCCTTTTTTAAGTATGAAAGATTTCAACAAGAAACTGTATTTCTATTTCCTGGGTAGTGTACAGACCTAAGTGTTTACTCAGGTGTTTCTCTCCCAGATGGGAACCTTTTCTTTTAAAGGTGTTAAAAAGAAATCAACAATAATAAATAATGTTACAGATACTGTAACTGTTTCCCCTAGTTTTTGCCACAACCTATGCTTATGTAACTGCCATGTGAATATCTGCATGTCTTGGCTGCTGAATCATTTATTTTTAAATGGCTCAATCCATATAAATTTTGTTTTAATTTTTCTGACCAAAGTTAAAGTAATTTAAAAAAATCCACAGAAAATTTTGTAAGGGATCTAATGTCACTTGATTTGAAAAAGGTAGAAAAGACAGGTCAGATTATGTACCATTTACACCCATGAAAGATGGTGATGTATTTAGAGCACTTCATCTATGGTGCAAGAGAAGGCTAGACTGCCTGAGAACTTGATTTGTGCCACATCCCTCGGCAAGCACATTATCACAAATAATTGCTGTCTCCTTCATTAGAGCTGCTTCTTTTTGCATAGCGTAGTTCAAGATAGATTGCAGAAGAAAAAGAGAGGTAAGAGCAGAGGAGAACCCAATGCAAATCCCTTAAGCATGGCTCTCACCTGGAAGCCAGGAGCTCAGGGGTTGGCTCCAAGGCACGCTGAGATATGGCTGCAGAGTAGGGCAGCATTAAGAGGCGAGGTTGAGAAGAGCACAGCCTATAGCGGGCGGTTAGCACCTCAGCACCGGGGTAGGCTTGGCACTGGATTTCACCAGCCCACAGATATTGCACAACCCCAGGTAGAAACAACAACTTTCATTTGGCGCATCTAGCTAGACTTCTGATTTCAAATAGAACAACTCTTCACATTCAATCTGAAATTCCCAGGAGGTCTGGGATTCCCCCAAAATCATGCTTCTAGTGTTGAAACCATATAGTGTTTAGCACCATATGGTGCTAAACCCCAGTCTGACATTTACATGCAGCTCAAGGAGTTACTGTCTCAAGCTCTCAGACACCTCCGTTCCCATGTCACCAAAGAGGACACGACTGTAAAAAAACCACACCAGGTACAACAAAGAACACAGACACTGTTACTGATCCCAAGAGGATCTTCCAAAAAGTTTTCCATTTTGCAAACATTAGCGAAACCCCGTACCTAGGGGAGGGGAGCATAAAAACGAAGCTTACCTGGCTTTGAGAGGTGTTAGTCACACCCCATACTGTGGTGACCACTGATAAAGAGCCTGGAGGCTGGTTGGTATTTTGCTGCCAGGGAACAGAATCGTAAGGGAAAGACCCATCACTGCAAAAACAAATGATTAGGAGGGTGAGATTTTGGAAGATTAACAGTGGCAAGTTTCTGCTGGGGACAAAGGCATTGCTTTGTGTGTATACTGGCGTGCTGCACGCCCGGTGAAGGATCCCACCTTTGGGACAACATTAACACCTGACATTACCTTAACTCTCTGCTCCTTCATCTATTATTAGCCTCGTACTCTGAGAGACACAAAGCTTCTTTAATAGCAATGTGATCGTATCAAAACCACAGATAACCAATTAATTCTGTAACTGTACTGAAGCACAGGGCTTTTACCCTAAAGGTCTGTTACCGATGAAAGTAAAGGTACCCTCAGGGGCAGAGTTTCAAACACGGACACTAAACAAGTTGCTCAGAAGCACTTATGTTTTGCAATCCATCTCAAGCTCTTCAACAATCACGGCTTCAGCTGCCTCCTATCAACGCAATTAGATTTTGAGACCAGACTGCAGCTCCGCTGTCTGCACTGGGTCCCCAAATGGCCAGGAAAGCCTTTAAAGGAAGAGCAGTTCAACATCATTTTGCAAAGCAAATTGAAATTCAGATAGCGTTCTCGCACACGATGGATAAGCTGCATGCCAAAAACAGTATTAGCTAATCAGCATTCTAGAAAATCAGCTGCAGATATACAACACATCTATCAGATAAATATGTGGATGAGAGGATTGGGTTTTTCCATTAGCTTTGTCCACAGATACAAGCAAACATTTCTCACAGTTCTTTTCACATGAAAGCACCAGTGGTTTCAAAATGAACAACGGATAGGTACGCACCTAGTGTATTAATGAAGTAGGTTACATCCGGTGAAAGTAACTGTTAGTGCCATAACTGTAAAATACATTCCACTTGAAATTTTCATCTGGATGTATGTGTCATTTAATACACACACACACTGCTCTTTCATTTTCAAACATGCCGTATGTCTGCCTTGTGTTTCATGTGAAGAAGCGCATTTTTGCTGGACTACCACCTATCACTGGAATTCTACACAGGGCAATCCACACAGGCTCTACAAGCACTTCATCCACATCCTGCAAAGCCTGCCCCATGAAGGCCCACACAGTCAAGTCATACAAGACATGGTCAGACAACCAACCCGCCAAAGCCCCAAAAAGGCCCTGTGGCAGACCAGGGAGCTGACTTTCCCGTGTCCCAGACAGTACTCAGCCCACCTCTCCCTCCTGTTGTGCTGTGAGCCAAACTCTAGGCCGACCTATATGTTCATTCCTAGTGTAGGCCATTTAGAACGGGAATTACACTGCACAGAGAAGGGCGCACACCTGTGATAAGAAAGACTTTCGTCCCAAGGAACAAACAATCTAGTAGCAGCAACAGCGACTGCATAGGGTAAAATCAAACACCAAACACAAGTAAGCAACTTCAAACAATTCCGTAATGGTGCGTCAGTGTAACAGCACTGCATTAGAACACAACTGCGAATCTGACCTGGGCTATTTGTTTCAAAATACCCACACTGAATTAAGCAATAAAATCACAACAAAAAGACAAAGAAGGAAAAGAAAAAACAATTACAGAGAAGAATAATTTCCCCTAACAAATAATTAGGGAAAATTAATGGAGAATAGCAATTCTCCAGAAGATGCTTGACAGGTAATGTTTACGTTGACAGCATCCATATAAAATGATGGGAGAACAAGGGCATATTTAACACCGTGCAATCAGGAAGTCCTCCTGGCCCATTTTTCTTTATCTTCTCTCCCACGGCTGACAACCTTGCCCCCTCGTTCAGGGGCTCCGCCAACGGCTGCAGTGACTAACGTTTGCAAGTGACGCCACGCTTCAGCAGGTCCCCTCCGCCAGCACAGAGACAACTGATGACTAACCCAGAATCTGTGACTGCTACGAAGCCTTCCTCTTCTTTCCTGCTCTGAATGACGCCTCCTACTTTACCTCCTTCTCTGACTGGTTCTGACGGTGTCTGCTCTGTGAGTTGTTTGGATATTTATGGCACACAGGAGTGTGTGTGTACCTCAGTGCCTACAAAGAGAGTCTCTCCATGACAGAAGCAGTGAAAGGACTCACTGCAGCCGTTCCTCTCTATTCCCCACGGATGTGCTGGGGACAGGTAATGAAACCTGAGGGACAAGGCAAATATTTTGCAAGAGTCTCAGTAAATAAGAAGGGTAAGGACAGGCAGGAATCAAACCACAGAGTCACTGAAGGCTCTTCTAATGCAAATATGCCGTAAGGTTTGTACACCTATTCCAACTTGGAGCTAGCGATGCCTTAGCCTGTTGTTAAGGAGTTACAACTATTTCTTCACTTTCTTCGCCTCCAAAGCCTGTTCCTCTGACCCATTCCTCTCCTTTACAAGACACAGAAGAGATTCCGTGTATTATTCACCCATACTTTCCAGTGGTAGCGTCAAAGCACTTGTTTAGTGGAAGGCTGCACTGGGTTCTCCAAGACTATACAATCACTTCAACTAATTACAAAGAGGAGTAAACCACTCAATTTTTACCATATTACAGTTAAAACGGGCAACACCTGAAGAAACCATATAGTTGGCATACGACAAAGCCTCCGGCACAGGACCCAGCATAACACATGAAAGACAGAAATAAAGAGCAGGTACAGAGCTGTTGAGAAATATTCGTCGCGCACGCTGAATCCCACGACCACCACATCATCCAACGCAGCACTTGGCTTTAAATTGTGGACAGTGTTAATGTCAGAAATTATGGTGACACTGAAATAGCGACAGACGTGCCTGGCAGAACATCAGGTTACGAACCCTGCCACACGCTAGGCCTGCCGGACCTCACTTCACTCAAACTTCACCCTGTTAGACACCCAGCATGCTCAGGGTTTGCGTGCCCCAGCAGGTGCCCTGGTTCATCACCAGCTGCCCGCATGTTTGAGTACAACTTTTGCCATACTGGGTACAACGCCCACCCTCCCCCCGTCGCATAAAGGCGGCTTTTGTTTCAAGCAGTAGGAGACGCTGAAACGTGTGCCACTCCACTAAAGGATGACTTGTCCCTCCACTTTGCTCTTTCAACTTGTGTTTCTGTCCTTAAACAACCCAAAGGAATACTCCCACCATCAAAGGAGAATCCATGTAAGTACCATAATGAAACGTGACCAATCCTATTCTCATTTGCAATTGCTTTCCGCTGTTATTATACAGAGCTGTGAATTATCCTGAAATCCCTTTCCTTAAACTTGAAAATGGCAGCCAAGAGAGAAAGAAGCTTCAACCTCTCCAGCCACAGTGAAATGCTGCCCATGACACTGTTCCTGTTGAACGGTACAAGGGTAATTAAATCTCTCACTACACCCTGGAGGGCAGTGAGTCAGTTTGGGCTCAGCTGGAGTCCACTAAAAGAGTATTGACTAAATTTATAATAGTGTTAATGAACCTATACATACTAGTGGTCAGCATTAAAGACCAAACAGCAGAGGAAGCCATAGAGCAAAGAGGAAGAGATGGAGGGAAATTACTTCCCAAACTATAATGTAGTGAAACTGCAACCAAGGAATAAGGAGGAAGGATTTCTTAGCCGCTGGCAAATGTACTGAAACCACTGGTAATACAACACTCATGTCAGAGAAGTGCATTGGTACTTAGGTCTAAACAGCTTCTCTTAATCCCAGTCCTAGGAAAACAAAACCAGGCAGATATCCAGCCTCTTTGGAACAGTTACAGACTACATGACAGACACAGCCTGTTAGTTTATGCTAATAAAAGCTGCTTAATAAAAAGTGAGCTCCGTATAGTGAGTTAATACCAGTGAATTACTGTAATTTATACATGATTTGTGGCATTATTTGAAAATGCTGTACTTTAAATATGTTTACATTGTCATTAAAGCAATTGTATGTGCATCTGATAACTCTGTTTACATGCCTTCATTGATTGAGGCAGGAGAGCTTCAGATGGCTCCGTGGAGTACGCGTCCCTAGAGCATCGGTACTTTACATGTTGTGGAGGAGGGTAAAAACTGGAATTATACCTTCCCGGTGATTTTCCATATGGTTTGTTGAGAAGGCCAGGTGTCTAAACCGCTACCTTTACATAGCACCTATCTCCATTTTAAAGTCTGAAAACTCCATCACCTACTGCAGCAAAGCGCCACGTGTTGGCTTTCTCAGAAAACCCCTTTTTGCTCCAAGCACTGGCGTCAAGTTTCCCGCAGCCGAGCTTTCAGTGGCTAGCGTCTGCTGCTTACTCTCAAGCCAGCTTTAGCTTTGCAGGAGTCTTCAATGTTTCTGAAGCACAGTCATCCCACTTTTGACTCGTAGCTGACACACAGAGCCCACACAGTCCTTCCAATCTACTGACTAGCATAACTTCTTCAGCTGACGCCAAGGCGAGCAGGTAATTGCCACTGTCATTTCTCCCGTGTCTTCTACTGTCACCCGTGGCCACCCAGAGAGGGGAGAATCTGACCACAAGGACTTAGACGTCAGAGATCTACCCAGGCCAAACACTCCTTCGCAGGCACACGCTGCCAAAAAATCAGAACGGCCCAAACACAGCCCAAACCAGGGTGTCTGGATGTGTTCTTGCACCTCCGTACTCGCACCTTGCCCTGCCTCTGCAACAGCCTCTGGGCACACGTGCTCAGGGTGCCCAGCACCCCGGGATGTATTCTTGGTTGGAGCCTCTAGGTGACACTACTTTAATACAAACCATAACCATCTCCAAACAAGGCTCCTTGCTCCTGCCTCAACCCTCTTTCCCCAGAGAACCCCATTCCTCCACAGTAGGAAAGGATCACAAATCCCACAACCAGAGCAGGAAGTGGAGCCCGGGGTAACTGCAGCACCAACACACGCGTTTCGCACCCACGCTGCCTCGCGAGTTAGGCAGCTTAGCCTCTCTTATTCAGGTTTAGGTTTTGTTTTACTTGGATTTCTCGCATGAACACCACTCACGTAGCTTTAATTATTAATATGGATTCAGTTAGCAATCCTTCTTGATTAGGGCACCACCATAAACTTATTTTAAGCACACTCAT